ACAAAATACTAAAAAAAGAAAATGAAGGGGCTGGGGTTGTGGCTTAGTGGTAGAGCGCTTGACCTCAGCACCACATAATAATAAATACATAAAAACAAAGGTATTAAAAAATAAATATTAAAAAAAAGAAAAAAGAAAATTAAGACATTAAAAGGTGGAAAGTTGGACTGCAGTTGTGGCTCAGTGGTAGAGCGCCTATCTGGCTTGTGTGATGCACAGGATTCTATCCTCAGGACCACATAATAATAAATACATAAAAACAAAGGTATTAAAAAATAAATATTAAAAAAAAGAAAAAAGAAAATTAAGACATTAAAAGGTGGAAAGTTGGACTGCAGTTGTGGCTCAGTGGTAGAGCAATTGACTAGCACATGTGAGGCACTGGGTTTTTTTGATCCTCAGCAACACATAAAAATAATAAATAAAATAAAGGTACTGTGTCCATCTACAACTGGAAAAAAAAAAGGTGGAAAGCCCTCTCGTGTTCATGAATTGGAAGAATATTGTTAAGATGTCCATACTACCCAAAGTGATGTACATATTCAATGCAATTCCCACCAAAATACTAATGACATTCTTCACAGAATGAAAATAATCCTAAAATTTATATGGAAGTACAAGAGACGCCCAAAAGCCAAAGCAATCTTGAGCAGAAGAAGCAAAGTGGAGACATCATAACAACTGAGTCCAAGATATTACTACAGAGCCTTAATAACAAAAATAGCACAGTATTGGCATTAAAAAAAAATACAGAGGCCACTGGAACAGAATAGAGAACTCAGAGGGGCTGGGGATGTGGCTCAAGCAGTAGCGCACCCGCCTGGCATGTGTGCGGCCCGGGTTCGATCCTCAGCACCACATACMAACAAAGATGTTGTGTCCGCCGAGAACTAAAAATAAATATTAAAAACTCTCTCTCTCTCCCCCTCTCTCTTAAAAAAAAAAAAAGAGAGAACTCAGAAATAAATCCATATATCTAAAGGGAATTAATTCTCAAAAAAGATATAGAAACTTGATTCGTATCTTGCATCATGTAGAAAAGTCAACTAAACACTTAGTGTAAGACCTGAAAATCTTAAACTACTAGAGGAAAAGGGGGAACACTTTAAGATACTTGCAATGGCAATGATTTTATGAATATGACTCCAAAAGTACAGGAAACAAACGCAAAAAATATCAAGGCTACATCAAACAAGCTTCTGTTCAGCAAAAGTTAACAAGTTTACCGAGTAAAGAAACAATCTAGGGCTGGGGATGTGTCTCAAGTGGTAGCGCGCTCGCCTGGCATGTGTGCGGCCCAGGTTCGATCCTCAGCACCACATACAAACAAAGATGCTGTGTCCGCCGAGAACTAAAAAATAAATATTAAAATTCTCTCTCTCTCTTAAAAAAAAAAAAAGAAAAAGAAAAAGAAACAATCTAGGGGCTGGGGATGTGGCTCAAACGGTAGCGCGCTTGCCTGGCATTCGTGCGGCCCAGGTTCGATCCTCAGCACCACATACCAACAAAGATGTTGTGTCCGCTGAGAACTAAAAAATAAATATTAAAAAAAGTTCTCTTTCTCTCTCCTCTTTCACTCTCTCTTAAAAAAAAAAAAAAAAAAGAAACAATCTAGAGAATGGGAGGAAATATTTGCCAGCCACTGATCTACATATAAAGAAATAAAAAGCTTAACAAAAAACTAGTAATCCACCCCAAAAAATGAGTCAATTAGCTACATTCCCAGCCGTTTTTATTTTGAAACAGTCTTGCTAAATCACCCACATTGGCTTTGAACTTGTCATCCTCCTGCCTCAGCCTCCTGAACATATTGTTAATGTGTATGAAAACTAAAAGTAAATAAGTGAATCCTTAATGTTTTCCTTTAGAAAGGAAAAACAAATTATCACAATTTTTAATGTGTAAGTTCTTTAATTTTGGATTCCACCTTCTGGGTCCCCTTCTTCCTCCGGGAGAAGTCTTTTCTGCTGTCCTTTAATAAACTTCTAATTTCTACTCTGAAAAACAAAACAAAACAAAAACAAAAAAGGGCTGGGGATGTGGCTCAAGCGGTAGCGCGCTCGCCTGGCATGCGTGCGGCCCGGGTTCGATCCTCAGCACCACATACCAACAAAGATGTTGTGTATGTCGAGAACTAAAAAATAAATATTAAAAAAAAAATACTTAAAAAAAAAAGTTCTTTAATTTCACAATTCTGCTTAAGGAGATTCATATAATGGAATATCATGAAGCTGTTATAACAGTGAATAACCATATATATTTCTTCAGAAAAAGTAAACATAATATTAAATTAAAAATAAGCTAAAACCAGGTAGTGGCACACACCTGTAAACCCAGTGGCTTGAGAGGCTGAGGCAAAAGGATCACAAATTCAAACTCAGCCTTGGCAATGCAGCAAGATCCTGTCTCAAAAAAAATTAATAATAAAATAAAAGGACTGGGTATGTAGCTCAGTGGTAAAGCATCCTTGGTTCAATTCCCAGTACCAAAGAAATAAAAAATAAAAAGGGCTGGGGATGGTGGCTCAGTAATGAAGCACCTATAGATTCAATCTCTGGTACAAAAAAAATAAATAAAAATAAAAACAAACCTACAAAACAAAAACAAAAAAACTAAATAATAGTGCCTGAGATATAATCCGATCTTTATTTAAAAAGTATCCATCTATATAAACTTATGTGAGCGTGTAAGAAATCTGCTTAATGCTGTCTGAGGTGGCCTCCGGGAGCCTGTGACTTCTGTGTCCAGCCCTCAATAAGACTTCAAGCCCCCAGAGTAATCCCGGAGCCACATCCCAGCCATTTGGGACAGTGTGGTTAAATTGTCCAGGCTTGCCTACTATTGCTGCAGTCCTCTGGGGATTACAGCCTTGAGCATGCCCATCCTGGCCTCAGCTAATTGTTTACATGAAGACTAGCATATTCAGAAGGCCAGGGGTTGAGAATCCTGGTCTCATGGGACCCTACTAAGACCCCCCCGCCCCTGCAAAGAGGACATGCAGGGGTGAAATGGGAATGTGGTTTCCCCTAAGTCTAGTGTATTTTCAATATGCCGAATTTCTAGTGGCCAGTAGTTTTGAGTTTCCTGTTCCACTTGGGGAAATGTCCAATCCTAACCCTCAGCTGCTGAGGGAATTCAGAGATTTACAGACTTTTCAGTGTTGCCTGTGTTCCCTGTGCTTTTGATTTCCCCCTTCCGAAGGGCCCTCCCCCCTTCCAAAGGGCCCCCAAGGGAGACTGGGAGTGTGGGGAGCTGCCAGAGGCTTAGCCATTGCTGAAACCTGCTTGGGAAGGTGGCTCCCTGCATTGGACCTGGGCCAAGTAGTTGGCATTGCAGGCAGGAGCTACAACCCAGCTGAACATTGTCTTTAATAAACTGTTATCTTTGGGGAAAAAAAAAAAAAGAAATCTGCTTAAAAATGGTCTGTGCAGCTATATATACTACTGTTAAAAGTATTACTTGCAGGATGGGTTAAAAAAAAAGGATTTATGTGAGCTTTCACTTTTTAATGCTAACATCTCTATATAATTTGTAGTTTTACAATAAGCTTATATAACTTTATGATTAGGAAAAAATTACTTTTCCTTTTTTGAAAAATCTAAAATCTCCCAACTTTTACCTTAAAAATAAAGAGTTTCTTTATGTCAACTCTTAAGTCATATTAACCACTCCTCCTCGCCCACTTTCTTTCTTTTATTTTTGTGGTGCCAGGGATTGAACCCAGAGCCTTGTGCATTGGAGGCAAGCACTCTACCAACTGAGCAACATCCCCGGCCCCGCCTCCACTTTCTTATTGCTCAGTGAAAACATTCCTAATACCTAGAGAACGTTTGTTACTCTTTACCTCAAGGGGCATTATTTTTATATCTGGATCTCCTTTGGCTGCTTAATCTTCCCTAGTTGGTAAGTCAGCTATTTTAATTACAGTACAGGAACTAACACCTAATTTTGGTTTACAAACAACACTAAAATAACAACAAAGGTGTTAATGAATATTTGGGAATACAGAACTAAGCCTTGAAGGCTTAGAAAAGTAGAATAATAAGTTCTTTTGTCCAAATTTAACCAATTACAACAATCAATTTTGTGAATCAAGGACAGGTGATTTTCAAGTTCTTTTAAACATTTTTCAACATACTCACAATCCTCTTTCTTATTCCTATCAGCATAATTTCTCCTCTGTTTAATCAAAAGAGATGATGTGTCAACAGTACACCAATATGCTACAAAGTGCAAAAAAAAAAACAAAAAAAAAAAAAAACAAATCCATGGGGCTGGGGATGTGGCTCAAGCGGTAGCATGCTCGTCTGGTGTGCGTGCAGCCCGGGTTCGATTCTCAGCACCACATACAAACAACGATGTTGTGTCCGCCAATAACTAAAAAATAAAAATATTGGGCTGGGAATGTGGCTCAGGCGGTAGCGTGCTCGTCTGGCATGCGTGCGGCCCGGGTTCCATCCTCAGCACCACATACCAACAAAGATGTTGTGTCCGCCGAGAACTAAGAAATAAATATTAAAAACTCTCTCTTTCTCTCTCTCTCCTCCCTCACTCTCTCTTAAAAAAAAAAACAAAAAAACAAATCCACCATTATTTGTATATCTCATAAAGAATTTAGAGTACTAAGTACTATATTTTAAATGGGGTATGCTAAAACTGCAAAATTTTTTTAAAAGGAGTGATGAAGACAATGAAGTGACCAGAGTATAAACCGCTAAGGAGGTAGAAAAGGGAAAATGTTGGGGGAAAAGATAATTCAGAGAAAACTTTTTTTCCTATAGCTCTACAGCATGGAACTAGTATCAATGGATAGAAACAAAGGGAGACAGAGTCTAGCTTAGGATTTTTACCAAATTATTTTTTAGGAGTTTATTAGGTCTTGTGAATACCAAAAGGCACATTTTAATAGTAAGAGCAAAATATTGTCCCTACTACATATGCTGTGCCATTAACCCAGTAAGAACAAAAAGGAAACAATGATAAAGAAGGTAGCAGGCTACCTTTCCAGTGCACTGCAGGTGCTGTCCTGGCACGGAGAGGGAGGTCACAAACATGGTAAAGCAGCGAAGCAAGAATACAGTGCCCATCAGACTACAGAGCCTTCGCAGAAGGATTGACCTGTGAACAGAGCAAGCAAAGAGGGAAAAAGATCAGAAGAAAACAAACCAAAAAACCCTGGCATCAAATGTTTACCTAAAGGGAAAGCAAGCAGAAAAACCACTAAATTTTTTTTTAAGAAGACAGGAATCTTAGAGTACATCTAAAGCATCACTATCCAATAGAAGTCTCTGCAATGATAGAAATGTTCCATAAATACTTTGTCCAATATGCTATTTACATATGGTTCTCGAGCACTTGAAATGAGGCTAGTATAGCCACAGAACTTAATTTTAAATTTTATTTCATTTTAATTGATTTAATAAATTGGCTAATGAGGGCTGGAGTTGTGGCTCAGTTGGGAGAGTGTTTGCCTTGCATGTGTGAGGTACTGGATTTGATCCTCAGCACCACAAAAAAACAAATAAATAAAATAAAGTATTAAAAAAAATTGGCTAATGATATTAGCTGATATTCATTCTAACTTTTCCTAACTTAAGCTACAATTTTTTTAGATACAAAGTTTGATATTAAGTATATCTGAAATACAAATTTTGAAAAACTGCAATTTGAGTAATCATGAACTGCACTGTGACATCATTTTTACTGTTATATTATTTCTTTAAATGTCCTAAATTAAAATAAACTAAGATGCTTAGAGAGAACTTTTGTTTTATACATTTATATAAATACTCCTCTTGGGCTGGAGATGTGGCTGAGTGGTACAGTGTTTGCCTAGCCATGAATGATGTCCTGGATTCAATCCCCAGTAACAAAAAAAAACATATAAATAATATAGAAAGAAAGAGATCAAAATGCTCCTCTCTCCCTCAAAAAGAGCTTTGAACACAAGATTAGGTATATTTCAAGCCTCAGTGTACACACCTGGGAATGGAATGTAGGAATCTGCATTTTAACAAACATCCAAATGATTCTAATAAAAGTGATACCAAACTATGCTTCAAAAAAGTCTTTTTAAACTAAGTAAATTTGCATTGAACTGACCTCTACTATGCTTTGCTAAACCAATAGTTTATAAGGTAAAACTCTCTTTTGCTTTGAAAACTTGGATAAATTCAAATCCATGGAGGTCTATGAGGCAAAGGTAACCAGAAAGCAGTGGTGCATGTTTCTAAACACCTCAGGTTCAAAAGCAAACCAGAATTAAAAATATTGCTGCAAAACTGAAAAAAAAAAAAATGGGACAGAAAGGTTCAATACGACCTCAAAGTGAGACAAGAATAGCAATCATCAACCTTACTTTTCACCTTCAAAGCCTGAAATAACTACTGCTTAGGACACAAAGCTCATCACTGTGGTTATCTCAAGCACATCCTGTTGAGGAGAAAGGATAGAAAATGATAAGAAAGTGTCCTTATTCCTCTCCAGCATCCCAAAGATGGACAGCAGATCACTACAAATTTTATACTTCTTTAAATTTTTCCCTTTTTTACTTGAATCAAGTAATTTTCCCCATTAGAGTCTGAAAAAGAGGCTCTCCTAGGGCCCTTATGCTTTCCTTTTTTAACCAAAAAAATTCTTCCCTTTATATTTCTTGGTGAATATGCCAAAGAAGCACTTCTCCTATTTAGCAATTTCCTATACCATCTCAAGTAAATCACACTGCATAGACAGATATATAAAGTATGTAAAATGGTCTCATTTTTTAAATAAAAAAAAAGATAAGGCTAAACTGGTAAGGATTAGCTCACGGCTGATCATCCACAATTCTGTTCTTTTCCTGCAAAATACATTCACAATATTACTTACTATGTAGGTACTATGTAGGATGACACTTCTGTTGATTAAATCTGAGACTTTGTTGTTGTTGTTAATAACTATAATGTCACACTTACCAGAGAAGGAAATTAACCAGAAAAATGCAAAGGGAGGGACAAGACTTGATGACCAAACACAAGAGAGTAAGGAAGGTACCTGTGCTTGTGAAGAAGAAGAACCAGGAGCCAAATATAGCACAGAATCATGCCACATACTTCTGTCATGGCAAAGGCCCATGGGATTCTAGGAACACTGGAACAAAAAAAAATTTTTTTTGAATTGAAGAGAAGTAAATATCACCCTTTTCAATAGATATTCACTTTTCTAAAAATGACATTAAAAGTTTAAATACCTTTTACTCTCTCAGGAAATGGTATTTGGAGAGCCAGGGAATAAAAATCAATTTTATAAAGTGAACCACTTCTTAGAACATGCTTGTTGTCTGTGATTCCAAGTTATGGCTCTCTATGAAAAAGCAATGACCATTTTCTCCCACCTTATCGCATGGCAAACCTGGAAACTACCCACAAAGAACGGAAAAAAAAGACCTCTTCTTATATGTTAATTTCAGAATCCAGACAATCAGGACTTGAAATTATTCTTTTCTTTAATAATTATTTCCAGGGCTGGGGATGTGGCTCAAGCGGTAGCGCGCTCGCCTGGCATGCGTGTGACCCAGGTTCGATCCTCAGCACCACATACAAACAAAGATGTTGTGTCTGCTGAAAACTGAAAAATAAATATTAAAAAATTCTCTCTCTCTCTCTGTTTAAAAAAATAAATAAAATGCTATTTAAAAAAAATTCTCTCTCTCTCTCTCACTCTCTCTTTAAAAAAAAAATTATTTCCACTATTATCATGGCAAAAATATTTAAATACGTAATACATATAAATATGTATATATACAATTTTTTAAAAGTGTTTAAAAGTGTTTATTTGGGGCTGGGGTTGTGGCTCAGTGGTAGAGCACTCGCTTAGCATGTGTGAGGCACTGGGTTCGATTCTCAGCACTGCATACAAATAAATGAATAAAATTAAGGTTCATAACATCTGAAAAAATATTTCTTCTAAAAAATTGTTTGGGCTGGGGATGTAGCTCAGTGGTGTAGAGTACTTGCCTAGCATACACAAGGCCCTGAGTTCCATCCCCAGTATTGCAAAAATAAAACAAAACAAAAAAAATTTATATAGTGCTTATTTAAGTTAATTCTTGCACCTGAGAGGCAATCATTGTCACTCTTCTAGCTACTTCATCTAGCATTAAATCTTTTAGTCACAAACTTTCCTAACACACACATAATCTCTCTCATGCTCTTAATATTTCATAATTTTGTTTAAATGTTTTAAAAGATTTGTGTAAATCTTAATTAAGATTAAGTGCAAATTGGGTTGGGGTTGTGGCTCAGCAGTAGTGTGCTTGCCTAGCATGGATGAGGTCCTGGGTTCGATCCTCAGCACCACATAAAAAATAAATAAATAAAACAAAGGTATTGTGTCCAACTACAACTAAAAAATAAATATTAAAAAAACAGAAGAATAAGTACATCTTATCACTCCAGAAAATTCCCCTGTGTCCCCACCCCAGCCCAGGGGCAACAACTGACCTGACTGGTGTCCCTGAAAGGCTTGCCTTTTCCAGAAAGATTTACTTATTTTAAGTTCATTCCTTGAACAACTTCTTATAATTCTCCAAAGCTAATAAATACTTTTTTTATTTGCAATACTCGGGATTGATTCCAGGGGCACATTACCTCTGAGTTACACCCTCATTCCTTTTTATTTTTTGAGACAGAGTATCTCTAAATTGCTAAGACTGGCCTTCAACTTGTTGTATGTCCTGCCTTGGCCTCCTCAGATGCTGGGATTACAGACCTGATCCAGAGCATACAGCTATTTTATTAATCTCTCTTTTCCCTCAAGGGAAATGTCTCCTAGAGCTCTTCTTGCTCTTATCCCAATTTAGAATGGCTGCATTTTCTACTCCTCCTGCATGGTTATTTATTAGAATAAAGTTATTATTAGAATAAAATTCACCTTGGAATTCCTCTTTCTATATAAAATTTTCGGTTTTTAAAAATTTAATAACAGTTATCAAGAATACAAGCAATAATAAGTGTTGATGAGGATATGGGGGAAAAAGTACACTCATACATTGCTGGTAGGACTGCACAATGGTGCAACCACTTTGGAAAGCTGTGTGGAGATTCCTCAGAAAACCTGGAATGGAACCACCATTTGACCCAGCTAACCTACTACACAGTCTATAGCCAAAGGACTTAAAATCAGCATACTATAGTGACATCACATCAGTGTTTATAGCAGCTGAATTCACAATAGCTAAACTGTGGAACCATCTAGATGCCCATCAATAGATAAATGGAAAAATAAACTGTGGTGTATATACACACACAATGGAATATTATTCATCATTAAAAGAAAATAAAATTATAACATTTGCAGGTAAATAGATGGAGTTGGAAAATATCATGCTAAGCTAAGTAAACCAGTCCCCAAAAATCTAAAGGCCGAATGTTTTCTGAGTCCATGACAGGAGGGGGTGGTTTGGAGAACCAACTTTGGAATGGGATAAAGGAAGGGTGAGGAGGGATCATAGGGGTAGGATGGTGGAATGAGATGGACATCATTACCCTAGGTAATGATGTATGACCTAGGGTATGTATAATTGCATGAATGGTGCATCTCTACTTCGTGTACAGTCAGAGGACTGAAATGCTGCATTCCATTTGTGTAAGATGAATTGAAATGCATTCTGCTGTCATGTACAACCAAATAGAACAAATTAAAAAAAAAATCTAAGTTCTGCTTGGTAGTATAGGGTATGGCCTACAATCCCAGTTACTTAGAGGCTGAGGTGCATCAGCAACTTAGTGAGACCCTGCCTCAAAAAAAAAAAAAAAAAAAAAGAGCTAGAGCTGGAGCTCAAGGGTAGAGCACTCCTGGATCCAATCCCTAGTATCCCCCCAAAAGGTTTGTATTTTTAAAATTTATTTCATTTTTCCCTTCCTCCTTCGTTTCTTTCTAGGTACTAGAGATTGAATCCAGGGCCTCACACATGCTAAGTAAGCATTCATCACTTTTTTTTTATTTTTTAAGTATTCTTCTGCTCCCTATTTTGTTTCCAAATTTCCTTTTTTCCTGTTTGTATTGGTATGTTTTCCTCGAATGTTTGGTTATTCTTGACTGACCATTCATATGGCCTATTGTGTAAAATAGGCTTCAGAAGCAAACCCTGGAACAAATATCAGTGTAAAAGAGATTTTTGAGGAAGAGTTCCAAAGAAAATCTATAGGGTGGTAGAACATAAAATCAATAAGACAGAGAAGCAAAGCAAGGGTGAGACATACAGCAAAACTCTGCAGGAAGTCAGGAATGGCTAACTTCAGCTCAATCCTATGGGGAATTTGGTCCGGTGTAGGTTCCAGCTAAATACTGTCCCAGTTAGGGCAAAGAGAAATAAAGTATCTATACCCCATCTCTTAAGTCATTGGCTATGGACTGCTACTAAAGGAATGTAAATTTCTAAGCATTTTTTGCTCTCTTTTCAAGTAGGCAGTGTATTCTGGCAGCTCAAGAGCAGCCCTCCAACAAATAGGCATAACTACCGGGTCTTGAGAGCATTAGTTTTCAGGAAAATGGAAAAGAGATCTGAGGGGATACTGAAGGAACACTAACAGCATCTGCAACTGTTCTCTGATGAAAAAAGCTTTAAATGTTTAAGAGCAGGAAGCTTTGTTAGTGAATGACACTTTAGATAGTAAAGCAAAAAAAATTTGGTTTCAAATTCCTGTTACGAATTGAGAAAAATGTCTATTTGTACATGAATGTTCAAGCAGCATTATTAATAGTAGCCAAAAGAAGGAAACAACCCCAACGCCCATCAATTAATAAGTAGGTAAATAAAATATAGTATATCTACACAATAGAATATCATTTGGTAATAAAAAGAAATATAGTACTGATGCATACTATAATATGTATGAATCCTGAAAGCATGTTAAGAAGCCAGATACAAAAAAGCCACATATGGTGTCATTTATATGAAATGGACAGAAAAGACATATTCATAGAAACAATGGTTGGCAGGGTCTGAAGGAAGGAGGGAAAAGAGTATGACTGCTAATGGTATGAACTTCTTTTGAGGTTGAACGTTTTGGATTTAGTGGTGACGGCTGTACAATTCAAAACAAAATCCTCACTGCTCTACCAAACTATTTTCCCTTTCTTCCTTTATTCCTTGTGATGGCTATTTACAGAAGTTCAGGATAATTGTCACTCTAATTCTAATAATAATTTGTGTTCTTGCTCACTTCTACTTTCACTTCTCTTCCTATGATCTTGTCCTTTACCCTACCACAGCAATTTCAACTAATGTTGTAACTGAAACCTTGTCATATAAGATTATTCCTCATAATCTCAATTTCATGAATTGTATTGTCTAATATCCCTCTGCCAAGGGTATGTAAGTTTTTTGTTTTTTTTTGGCAGGGGTGGTTCTGGGAATCAAACTCAGGGCACTAGTCATGCTATATACACGCTGTACTATAATCATCACCTGGAACAGGCCCCTAGTGCTGCTATGACATTACATGAATCTGCTCACTCTTCTATTTTGTAGAGGAACATTTTATACTCCAGCTTTTCTTTCCAAACCTCCATTTCTTTTCTCTGTTCTCACTTTCTTAGAGAAAATAAAAGCCATCAGAAGAGACTTCCTGTGCTCCATCAGCACATATAGCAGCCTTCTGTCTCTGTTTCCACATTTTCTACCTTTGCTGTTATTATATTTATTTTGTTTATTTTTTTGTGGTGCTGAGGATGGAACCCAGAGTCTCACATGTGCGAGGCGAGCACTCTACCACTGAGCCACAACCCCAGCCCCTCATTTCTATTTTAAATACAAAAAATATTCTACAATTTAGCCTATTCAAAACAAAGCAAACAATACTTTTAGACCCCATATCTCCCCCTCATTCCTTCCCATACTATAGCTCCACTTAGTTCTTATAGAAAAATTTGCCCTTATAAGAAAGATTTGATTATCTCTAATTTCTGTGTTCCCATTCTATTTCTCTCATCATTTCTTTGACTGTTTTATTTTGAAAAAATCTGATTCTACTGAAAAAAGTTACAAGAATAAGCACTGTGTTTCTCATCTAAGTCCCTCATTGTTTGTAATAATTAATGCTCTGCCACATTTACTTCATTACACACATACAACTCTTTTTGGGGAAACTGAAGTTTCCCAAAGTAAATTACAAACATTATGATACCTTTCCTCTAAATATTTTGGCATTTCTAAGAACAAGCATATCCTTTTCATAACTCAATATACTATTACATCCAGGAAATTATAACATTGATTTAGTTATCATTTAATATACAGGTCTTCAAAATTTCCTAATTACCTCAAAATGTTCTTTATAGAAATATGTTTTCTTAATATAGGATCCAATTAAAGTACTGTTCCTGATTATGTCTCTTCAATTTCTCTTACAATTCCCCCTGGTTTTTGTGATGACAATGATATTTCTGGGGATTTCAGATTACTTATTATGTAGAATATTCCATGTTTCAGATCTTTCTGACTATGTTCTCATAGTTACATTTTTTAAAAATTAGGGTGGGGAGCAAGATTATAGGTGATATTGTGAACATCAGTTTCAATGCACATAATGTTGGTTTGTTCTATGGAGATGCTACATTTGGTCATTTGGTTAAGCAGACACATGCCAGGTCTTGCTATATTGTAAAGGTACTTTATTCCTTATGTAATTAAGTAATATGTAAGATGATACTTTCAGATCTCGACACTATGCTGCTACCAAATGGCCTTTCACCTTATTAGAGGATGCAAAACAAGTCATGCGACCACATTTATTTGCTGGATAGTGTTCTTGAAGAGCTTCCTGTCTTACCCATTATTTTTTGTTTATTACCGTAGATTTAAAGATTATTTTTCTTCTCAATATATTATGGTCCATTACCATCATTATTCTTTTTGATGTTCCAATTATACTAATTTGTTCAGCAGGGGCCCCTTTAAACCAATTCCTATGTTCTTTTGACATGTTGCCATTGGTTTGTGCACTTTCCCTGATTTATGGCACAAGATCTGCTTCTCTCTTATGTTATACTTTCCTTACCACAGACTTAAAATTGGTCACTTCTTTGAGAAGCCCTGGTTTAGTTCCTTTTCACCGGGAATGGTGGTTATACATGACCATCTATAAGCTCACAGTGTTCACTGCCAAGTTTCAGGGTTTTTTGGTCTGTTTTAATTTTTTTTTTTTTTTTTTTTTTAGTTGTAGATGAACACAATACCTTTATTTATTTATATGTGGTGCTGAGAATCGAACCCAGTGCCTCACACATGCAAGGCAAGTGTTCTACCACTGAACCACAAAATCCCAGCCCCCATTGCTGAGTTTTTGTTACAAATCACTTCATATAATTTCATAGAAATTATCTGCATTCTTTTTTATGATTAAATAGTAATTCACTGTGTAGATGTAACCATAGTATATTCAATAGTTTTCCATGGATAAACGTTTAGATTAGTGCCAATATTTATAATTATTATAAATAATGTCACAATGTAATGTTTTTTCATATTTGTGAAGAATTACCTTCAGGTAAATTACATTCTCACTTGAATCCATTATAATTGGATTTTTGCCATTATTTACTCTTGCCATAGTCACTGATGACCAATATGTCGCTAAATCCAAAGGCCAATTAATTACTGAATTACATGACCTCTCTGAGCATTTGACATAGCCAGCTACCCAGCCTTCTTAAAATACTTTTTTTGTCTGACTTCTAGGATACTTGTGGAAGTATCTTTCTCTTCAGTCTTCTGAATGTTTTCTCTTTCTCTCGATCTTTTTTAATAGTTTCTCCTTATTTATTTGATTTCAATGCTCTTCCTATTTTTTACTTCTTGTTCCTTAAACATGCCAGAATACTCCTAGTTTAGAATTTTTTGTACCTAGCTGTTTCCTCTGCTATTTCCCCCAACATATCCACATATCTTTTCACCAGATATCCACACACTTTCTTCCTTATGGATTTTTGTTTACAGGCGGGAAAACTACATAGAATATGAGATAGAATATTGTAATAACTTCTTAAACAACTTTCAATCAATTTTCTTTATTTCTCTCTTTATATCTCTATTTTTTTTCATAACTCCTTCACCTCCAGTATCCACAGCTTTGAGAAATTTGCAATATAAATTAGGTTGATTTTCAGTTTTCTCCATTGCTATTTTAGAATTAGGATATTTTTTGCTAGTTGCCATTCATTCATTCTGCCTTCACACTTCCAAAAATGTATAGCTGTTTTATCCAACCCATTCTGTAGGCTTTAGTACTTAAAAAACAAAAGCAAACAAAAAAAAATTTAGTTGGGATTTCACAGGGAGCAAAAATGTCATGTGTATGCTATTCTTTCTGTGTATGTGACTGTGTGTGTGTGTGTGTTACTGGGAATTGAAGGCAGGGGCTCATTTATGCTAGGAAAATACTCTACCCACTAAACTACATCCCCATCCCTTTTTAAATTTTAAGATAGCATCTTACTATGTTGCCCAGGCTGGCCTACAACTTACAATCCTCCTGCCTCAGCCTCCCAAATACTACTGTCTTTTTTTTTTTTCCCCCAGTGGTGGGATCAACCCTAGGGTCTCACATATGCTAGGGAAGCACTCTACACAGAGTTCAATTCCCAGACCCTATTCCACCATTGTAATGTGAATAYTCTAAAATTATTTCATCTTGCCAGGGAAGCACTCTAACACAGAGCTCAATTCCCAGACCCTATTCCACCATTGTAATGTGAATATTCTAAAATTATTTCATCTTTCCAGTTGTAGTACACTCTGGTAATCCTAGCAACTCAGGAGGCTTAGACAGGAGGATCCCAAGTTTGAGGTCAGTTTAGCCTTGAAAAACTCTGTAGTGCCTTATTTTTATAAAATATTTTGCCCTTGACCTTCCGAAAGTAACTTATAGTATATGTATTTTAAGAATATTTTATTTTATTTTGAGATAGTCTTACTAATTGTCCAGGCTGACCTGTGGGAGGCCATCCTCGCACGTGATTTGAGTCACCTCCCTGGCTGGGCGAGAGGCGCTTAGGCACATCTTGAGTCCAGAGCTTTCCCCACCCTTCTGAGGTCCGAGGGCTTGTCTGTGTGGAGGCAGACAAGGCTTCATAAATGAAGGTTCAAAACACGAGAAATCTCTAGGGAGTTTTGAATTAAAGAGACAGACTCTAATTACCTTTAAAGCAGCTCCAGGCAACAGAAAATTCTGGGGAAAATCCCATCCAATGAAGATTAAGGGGGCAGTGTCCTAAGGTCAGGTATGATGACTGGGTCTTTGGGGTAGTGGCCAGACATGCCTCCATAGGAACAAGCCCTCGGACCTCAGAAGGGTGGGGAAAGCTCTGGACACAAGATGTGCCTAAGCACCTCTTGCCCAGCCTGGAGGTGACTCAAATCATGTGCGAGGATGGCCTCCCACAGGCCAGCCTGGGCAATTTAGTAAGACTCTATCTCAAAATAAAATAAAATAAAAAATTCTTAAATACATATACCATAAGTTACTTTCGGAAGGTCAAGGGCAAAATATTTTATAAAAATAAGGCACTACAAAGTTTTTCAAGACTTCTTTTAAATCACAAATAAAATAGTTCTGTTTATTGTTCTATTCTTATTTTTCATACAATACATATACTATATTCTTTTTCTAAATCCAGTATTTAATAAAAAATAATACTACAATTAAATCAATTTTTACTATTTGTGATAACTCCAATTCATCTGGTGATAAGAGACTGCCCATATTTTCAGAAAAGCAGAACCCTGCTCATCATTAAGGAAAAAAAATAGGGGCTAGGGATATAGCTAGCTCAGTGGTAGAGCACTTGCCTAGTACATATGAGGCACTGGGTTCAATCCTCAGCACCACATAAAAGTCTAAAAAAAATCAATCGATCAAATATACTTCCAGGACACCCTTTCAAAATCTGAAATGTGTAAGGATTAAATCTATACAAAAATAAATTAGGGCTGGGGTTCTAGCTTTGTGGTAGAGGGCTTGCCTACCATATATGAGGCACTGGGTTCAATTCTCAGCAACACATAAAAATAAATAAAGGTTCATAGAAAATATATATATATATATATATATTTATATATATGAAAACTAAGTTAAGCAGTGGTCACCTAGGTTTGAACTTTTAAGTTTAGGTAAGGTTTTTACTTTAAATGATTTCAAAATATCTTTTTAATACCACCAGATAAAGCAAATGTAAAGTATATGTCAACCACAACCACAACAACATATTATCACTGCTGTTACTACAGCAACCTTCTACAAACTTAGCATGTAGGAAAAATACTTACCTGTCTAAGAATATATCTGGGAGTGGTGGATAGGTCTGCATGTCAGGCACTCGTTCATGGACTATAACCATAATAAAAGATGTAAACCCGAATACTATAAAAACATATACACAACTTAGTATGGTCTTCCAGTACTCTGGGTCCAATCTTCGAACAGGATGTTTGGTTTTGCCATTCATGTACTGGTACTCATCAGAATTCAAGTCAGTGATGGGTCCATCACAGTCATGTGAAAGTTCACCATTACAGAGCCAGTCTGCACTTTGAAGAGCACTGATGAATGGGGTCATGGAACTCATGGGACTGTCACTATTGTAGCCCATTTCTTCTAAAACATCAATATGTATTTTCTGCAATTTTCGGACAGAAAGCATTAACCTCTTAATGTCCCCTAGGACTTTGATTTCCAGAGGAGGAGACCGGAGATCATATTCAGTCAATGTTAACAGTGTGATTCCATCAAGTCGGTGCTTATTGCATAAAATGTCCACATATTCAAAAAAGCCTTCATCCTTCAGCCACACAGCTACATGCTTGGTAGTCCAACGTCGAATACAGAGTTGATTGGGACCTGCCATTTCTTCCTCCACTGTCTGCCAAGGGAAAATAAGTAAACAAAACAAAAATTTTAGTGTGTTAACAACTCCTTCAAAGACCAAATACACAAAAACATAGCAGAAACAGTCATTTACCTACATTCCCTACTGGATTCTAGAGTCAAATAAATAAAAATTATTAAATAATAAGTGACTTTTCAATAGATCAACATTATATACATTATATACATATAACCCCCAAAGCAGAAGAAAGGCTAATGAACTAACATTTTTGTTTGTTATTTGTTTTCTGGTGGTGCTGGAGATACACCCAAGGGTCTCATACATGCTGAGCAAGTGTTTTATCACTGAGTTATATCCTAAGCTCCATGATCTAACATTTTAGAGAAAGATATTTTACAAACAGCTTTTCCACCATATCAGCCATAACTTATAACTTACTTTAAAAAACTTCTGTTGACAACAGTAGGGGAAAAAAAATCTCATTTTAATACTTTTCATTAAATGATAGCTATAAAAAGCTTTACTGTATGTTAAAAAAATCAAATATCTGAAATTACCATATTCTTAGAAAAAGTATCTTTCCAATTTGAGGCACAAAAAAATCCCCCACAAAAGCAAATAGATAATTGTAATGCATCCTGTTGTCATATATAACAAATTAAAATGAAAAGAAAAAACTCTGCACTTCCCACTTAGAAAAATTACAATATTTAATGTCTAGGAAAAAAACTTTTTTGTTTCATTACTTTTGTCATATCAATATCATAATCAAAAGCAATTGTTTATTGTAAATTTCCACATTGGTGGGACCAAGGCATGTCTGTCTTGTCAGGTTGATCAATGTGTTACTTGAACAATAGTAATAAATAAATGCCCCGTCAGAGTCCTTAAAAAAAAAAAAAAAAGCAAATAGATAACTGCATAAAATGATTTTTCTAACAGATATTGAGCCTTTAAACTAGTTATAAATTGGGGTCTTAATAAGAACTCAGTTATTTCTATATTGTGAATATCTCATTATAGAATGGAATATATTTTTGGGATTTTAGTGATAATTTTTTAAATGGTCTTTTCAATTAACATATAAGTTTGATGACCTATACTTTACATTGCAGTTATAAAAGGCCAATATTATGATATGTTTTAAAAAGCACTTATTAATTTTACTATTTTTATCCTATTAAGATGTTTATTGTCATTTTCCTATTGTAAAACTTTCAGTTACCCTGGACTGTATCAGGTTTATAAAGTATATCAGATAAATGGGAGACAAATTCCTACATAGGGGTTAAAAAAAGAAAGAAAAAACATTATTTCTCAAATGTACCTCCTCAACTACTAAAGCCTGTGTGTTTTCTGACATTTTTCTAAATCTCTAAATAGTGACTCTATTTCCTTCTGAGATGATTTTCAAAATGTGACGGGGAAACTTTAAAGCATTTTTTTTTTTTTTTAAAGAGAGAGTGAGACAGGAGAGAGAGAGAGAGAGAGAGAGAGAGAGAGAATTTTTAATATTTATTTTTTAGTTCTCGGCGGACACAACATCTTTGTTGGTATGTGGTGCTGAGGATCGAACCCGGGCCGCACGCATGCCAGACGAGCGCGCTACCGCTGAGCCACATCTCCAGCCCTAAAGCATTTTTTTTAAATATGAAAAAAAAATGATACAATGAACATCCATGTGCCCACAACACAGTTTGGGGGAGGGGGTCAAAAAAGTTCCAATACAAAAGTTCTATTTCTTAATCTGGATGGATACTAGTTATACAGGTATGCTCCTTCTATGAAAAATCATCATGCTACATACTTATGATCTATACTTTTCTGTATATATGCTAACATTTATTTTAAAAGAGCACTTTAAAAAGCAAGACTAAAAATTATATACAAATTTATCCTGAAAGATAAATCAATGTCCTTCACAATGTCATGGATAACATTCTCCTCCTCTCCTCCCAGATGTAATATCTCCTAACTTTGGTGTTTATCATTGCTTTTTGCATTTTGTGCTATGAAAACCTTTTATAGTTCCTTAGGCTGAGGACAGTGAAAAGCAGATGGTACATGCATTCTTCCCTATCCACACAAACTTCTTGCCATGAAGACTTAAAATAATTCAGCAAAAACAGATACTTTAATAAGTACCACTTGCATCATCAAATTATTCTAACAAGAAACACACTTGATAAAATTCCACCCACAGATGAGTGACAAGAAAATGTCAGCTAATCATAAGTATTTATTTCTTAATTATTTAATCCAAGTTTTTAGAAGGCTTAAACCATATTCTGTTTCCAAATAGAACTTTTGGTTTTATCAATCCTATAGTTTTTTAGTCTTAGAAAATTAAAATCAAATCCATCTAAAGGAGTTCATATTTTCTTAAAGTTTACTGCAACATTACAAAAAAACTCTGACTCAACTCTTTTTTAAAATTTTTTATTTGTTCTAACTTATTTGTACATGACAGCAGAATACAAATAGTACAATATTTCAATTCTCTGGTTGTACACGGTGTAGAGATGCACCACTCATCTCACTCAATTCTTTTAAGCTACAGTATATCATTCTCCACCCCAAATGTCAAGGAACTATGATTTGTGGAATTTGCACATTGATATAACATATATTATTTGACACTATTTATCATATAGCATATATAAAATTTTATTAAAAATTTGGTTTTGCTCTGTTTTGGTTCATATACACAGCTAGGTAGTTTATTCTATCTACTTATTCTACCTACTTACATATCTCTTTTTCTTCTAAGTATACTCTGACTAAATTACTTGATCCTTAGATAGCCAGCAAGCATATGCTACAAAATCAACAATAGTATGATGCAGCAACCTGAGAAAGAAGCGCACTCATAACAACAAGGCCAGATTTCCTCATTATATTCATTACATTTCTATTCTGCTGCCTTTCCCCCTTTAACAGCTTACCACCAATGGGTTCCAAGTCACTCCCATGCTTGTAGCATTATTCTTCAGTACAGTTTCATCTCATATTCTACTCAAAATGATTCTTCTTTCAATTTTTTTTCTTTCCTGTTTTTCCCTGTCTTAGCTCATAGTTCTTTACAACCTCCACCAAGCAAATGAGCTTAAGGGCTTTGAAGCTGATGTTTTAGCTGCTAGAAAATAGGAGTTATCATGCATAGAAGCCTCATAGAAGTCTTTGAGTCTGGTGTGGGAAGGCCCTAAAAGCATGACACATTTCACTGTTCTGCTTCATCAGGTCAGTGCATGCCCTTTAATTATATGGTACTACATAATAGTTAGAGACACTAAATCACTATGTAACTATGTTGTGGAGGCCTGCATTAAAGAGATATATTAAAAGACGATAAAAAGGTTTAGGGTCCGTTTAATATTTATGTTGTGCCACAGGAATTACAGGGAACAGAAGACGTTGAACAAAAAAGAGATACAGGTTTCATACAAACCAATAAAATGAAGAAATTAGATTAGTGAATGCTTTCAGTTTTAACTATAACTGGTTTGAATCAATTATCATTTAAAAGACTCCTGCTTCTGGCCAAGATGTAGTAACAAGGACTAAATTTATTTACTTTCAGACCTGAAACAACCAAAAAACTTGGCAAAATATATGGGAGGTGGGGGTCAAGACAGCGGACATCAGGTAAATCCATTAGGGACAGGAAACCACTAAGGTGGGCTCTATCACCCTAGCTTACTTCTTTTGAAGGCTTTCAAGCCATAAAGGCATAGAATGAGAAACCCAGATGAGGCCTAACGGACTAGAGCTCACTTGAGGAAATAAAATTAAAAGTCTGGGGTGATCACGGTGGCTAGTGTTCGCAGGATGAATACTAGAGAAGATAAATACACACAGAGGGAGAACTCCAGAGATTTGCAGATGGTCTCCCTTGAATACTGAGTTGAATGCTGATCAATGTGTGCATAGAAGGAAACTAAGACAGAGAAACACCACCCAAAACAATTCCTGGCACTCACAAAGGCCAAGAAAAATGCCTATCCCAAATAGCCAGACTGGAAGAAAAAAAAAAAAAAAAAAGCTCATGATTCATGGGGTTTGGGGGTACCATACAAGAAAGATCTTGCCATTGTAGTGAGGCAAAATTAACTCTAAAGCAGTGATTTTTAACTAATGCTAATTCTCCTCACTCTTTAGGGATATTTGGCAATAACTAGAGACATTTTTGATTGTCCCAACTGGGAGGCAATGCTACTGGCATCTAGAGTAAAGATCAGGGATGCTGATAAAAATTCTATAATTTGGTGATACTGACCAAATTATATTGTTATGTTGTGTATTGCATGCATGTACAAATATATAACAACAAATCTCATCAGTGTGTACAACTATAATGCACCAATTTTAAAAAATGTGGAAAGGGCTGGGGTTGTGGCTCAGTGGTAGAGCGCTCACCTAGCAAGTGCGAGGCCCTGGGTTCAATCCTCAGCACCACATAAAAATAAACGAACAAAATAAAGGTATCGTGCCCAATTATAAATGTGGAAAAAGGGGCTGGAGTTGTAGCTCAGTGGTAGAGCATTTACCTCACAAATGTGAGGCACTGGGTTGGATCCTAGCACCCCATAAAAATAAAGTTATTGAGTCCATACACAACTAAAAAATGTATTTTAAAAAATGTGGGGAAAAAATTCTATAACGCACAAGACTCCTTTCTCTCCCCCCAAAATGGATCATTTGGCTCAAAATATTGGTGCAGAGATGGCCACTGTGACACATGCTTGTAAACCCAGCTACTTAGGAGGCTGAGGCAGGAGGATTGCAACATGAGCAACTTAGTGAGGCTCTGTCTTAAAATACAAAATAAAAGGGGTAGGGATGTAGGTGTTCAGTACTAAGTGCCCCTCCTTCAATCTCCAGTACTGGAGGGTGGGTAGTGTTGCAGTAATTCACTTGAAGGTCAGCATGGGAAAACAAAGAAGAAGAAGAAGAAGCAGAGCAAGCAAAGCAGCAGCAGAAAAAAAGTCCTTTATTGTGTACAAGCAATCTTTTTATAGTATTGTGAACAAAAA